GCTTGGCCTGCTGTGTTCATCCAGCTCTACACCTTGTGGTCCCAGCACTGATTCTTGCAGAACCCATTGGTCGCATACCTCCAGTCAGAAAAATACTCCTTCACTACTACCTCAACCTTCTTCTCTTGTGAATATACAGACAGTACCATGTATGTTACAAGCAGCTGTTGCCCTGTCATATTGCAGTGAAGAAGCACAGGCTGTGTTGCTGCACATGTTCATTCAATGCTTAATCCATTGGTGGTTTTAATGATAAATCCAACCTTGGCAATTATTGACCTCATGAAGAAATGCAAATTGAAGGTAGAAGACAAAATTTAATTAGTGGAGGCATGATTTTTCTAGTTGCCCTTAGCAAGGCTCAAAACTGGTAACTCTGCTCCCAAACAAACAAATAATAATTTACTCTATTCACTTTCGTGGGGTGACAACCATGTTGTGAAATTGTTGTGCAGTTGACTTTCGATCCAATGCGGTGAGGTTCCAACTTAATGTTTTTGTGAATGCCTTGCAAGCCCAATCTTTGATGAATAATTATTCTCCCATTCTTCCTGGGCCTTTTTCTGTTGCTGTCCTCTGGCCCAATGATCTTGCAGCCTCCTCTTGTTTTGGTTGACTCTGTATATTACTATTAATGTGCCCACTTTACCTCCAGAGACCAGGAGACCGTAAGACAATAGACCATAAGGTCTAGAAACAGAATTAGGCTATTCAGCCCATTGACTCTGCTCCTCCATTTGATTATGGCTGATATGTTTCTTGACCCCTTTTTCCTGCCTTCTCCCTGTAACCCTTGATCTGCTTACCAATTAAGAGCCTATCTCTGTTTTAAATACACTCAATGATTTGTCCTCTACAGCACTCCACAGCAAGGAGTTGCATGGATTAACCACCCTCTGGCTGAAGAAATTCCTACTCTAGTTCTAAAGGGTTGTCCCTTCACTCTGAGGCAGTGCCTTCAGATCTTAATCTAGTGGAAACATCTTCTCCATGTCCACTCTATCCAGGCTTCTCAAGTTTCAAAGAGATCCCTCATCCATCTAAACTCAGAAATTCCCTTGTTGTCTCTACAACTTCCCCATTTCGAGGGTGGGGTGACCTGCTCGAACCCACCACTGCCACCCACCTCCCTGGAGCTCCCAAGACCTTTCTGTTCACTATGAGGTCACATTCCATCTGCAGTTGTGCCCCCCACCCCCACCATCACAGTGACCTGCCCCCATACTTGAATTTCCGGCTTTCCTCAGAACTCCATGGACTGCCCCCTGACCATTATTGACTCCATATTACCAACCAAGGCCCTGACTCCTCAATAGCACCCCATTTGGCCTCTCTGTAAGCCCAGAACTGTGCGCACTTGACCTACAGGACTGACTGCAGTGGTCCAATGCCCATGATGCAAAGATATGCGTCCCTGGACTCATGTAGGATCAAACCTTTTGACTGACTGTGGTAGTACCTCCAACTGACTAGTCCACCCTCACCTCACTAACCCTTCCCCTTTGATATTCAGACATTATTATTTGCTTGAAGCACATGCAGTGTATTTACTGTGTTAGCTGCTGGCATATGCTATAATCTGACATTGATGTAGCACAGTGCCACAAGTCAACATGTCCACCTTCTGTTTAATACATATACTGATAAATGGTCCTCACTACCAGAAGCTGTTTCTCTCTCTCTGTCCTGAAAAGCAGGCTAAACTGAAGAGACTGCCAGCATATAAGTGCTAAAGATCATGTGCACTTATAAAACTAATGATACCTCTTAGCACCAAGGTAGATGGTTGAAGAACTGAAGTGGTGGTTGAGCTGGCCTGAGAGCAGGCATGATGAAGTGGTCAGTTTAGTGGATTGCTGATACCGAGTTCTGAGGATGAAGGGTTCAGGAAGAGTGATCCGTTGATCATGGAAGCTCCTTATGCAGAAGAAGCAGTTTCATGTAAAGAGAAGTTGGGCGGTTGTGGCATTACATAAGGGCCCAATAAGCAATGGACCCAGTGTTCTTGAGGGCCCAGCGCCCTGGTTGGGCTGGGGCCAGTGAATTTGGGTTGGAGGCTGGAACACGGCCACTGTACCTGGGCCAGCAGTAGCTCTGGGCCTGTCATTTCTGGTCCTGCTCTTGGACAGTCCACATGGACATTCCATGAGCTGCAACAGGTACTGCTGGTCAAATGACCAGATACTTGTTCTGTTTTGACTGTCGAGATTTTGCACTGTTGAGCTTCTCGGTGGAGGAAAGGAAAATTGGATGGGCAGTGTAAATATGATGGCTTGGATTTCACTGAGTTGCAAGTGTATGCAAATGAGCTAGCCACCACTCAAGGGGGTGATTAGGACCTTGCTATTTCAGGCTTGAGGGGAAAATCATGAATTTCTCTTGACTCGAGAATCTGATTTTCTCAATTTTGCCCTATTTAGTCGCCTTCCTCATCATTACTCTTGTCACACAGGGAATGGAAAATTCAACAGGAAAACAGATTAGGCCTCAGTTGGGTTGCAATTCACAGCATCACACATTTGGAAGTATTGTCAACATTCGGAGATAGTGCACAAAAGATTTACTGGATTGGTAACCAGGGAAGAGGGAATCCAGTTCCATGGAATACCACTGAAACCTGCAAAAGTCTCCTGATGGAAAGTTAAGAAGAGGTTTTGTTGAGGTATTCAAAACCATGAACAGTTTTGATAGGGTAAACCTGCAGAATATTTTCCCACTGACAGCAGAAATGTCTATAAGGTTACTGTCAAAGGGACCAAACTTAAGGAAACATGTTTTACTTCAATAAGTAATCAGGAATGCACTCTCTGAAACAGTGAAAACTGATATAAAAGTAACATTCAAATGAAAACCAGATTAAATATTTAGAAGGACACAATTACAGAGTTTTGGAGAAGAAAGAGGATGGTGTGATTAATTGGATAAACTTACCATATAGCACAGATTGAATAGGCCAAATGGCCTTATTTTGTACTCTATCATTCTGTGATTCAACAATGTTTTTAACATAAACACTTTGTACACTCAAACTTGGTGTTCATCAGTAAAACAACTCTCACATGTGCCAATCCATTCTCTCCCCTCTCTCTATCCCTCCTGCTCTTCCTCTTTCCTTCCTTAAACTTTTGTGATTTGCTGAATGACAGCCTTGTCCAGCATTGACAATGACATCCCAGACTCTGGACAGTTAGTCTCAGTATCAGTCTCCTTTTTTTGCAGGGCTTGTCATGAGATGAAGTTGAGAGCTGTTACTAGTTGGGATTGAGAACTGACAATAGTTAGGGATCGAAACAGTTACAAGTAGGTGATCAGAGCTGTCACTATGTGGGTTCAAGAGCTGATACAAGTTAGTGATGACAGCAGTTACTAGTTTTGGGAAAAGAGCTTTTACTTGTTAGGTTTCTAGTTGGCAATAAGTGGAATTCTTTACTGCAGGGTGGGTGGTTAAACTGGGTAGTTACATATATTCAAAACTGAGGTACACATTTCTAATCATTAACGGAATCAGGGTTATGGGGTTAAGAGAGAAAAAAGGAATTATCAGATCATCCATGATCTCATTGAATGGCAAAGCAGACTCAATGGGCTGAATGGCTTATTTCTCCTCCTACGTCTTATGATCTTATAGTTCCTACTTTCAGATAAGAGCTGTCATTGTTTGGAGATGAGAGCAGTTACCAATTGTCTTTGAGTGTCGTCTCTACTTCTTGTTGAGAGCTATTACTTGTTCTGTAGGAGAACTGTGACTAGTTGGATGGGTTACAGCGGTCACTAGCTGAGTTTGGGAGCTGTTATTAGTTAAGTTTCTGAGCTGCTACTAAGTTGTGTTAGGAGGTATTCAGAGTTGGGTTTCAGGGCAATTATGAGTTCAGGATGAGAGTTGAATAGAAGTTGGAACTGAGAACTGATTAGTGATGAGATCTGTCAGTATTTGGGAACACATGCATCTCCCGATCTATGGCTGCTCACTTACCTTGTTGAGTCCCAGCTCTCCGCGGATATCTTGCGGTGTAAGTGCATACAGTAGGGCACAGGCTGTGATTGCCCCGAGCCCTTGCATGGCCATGTAGAGTACAGCCCGAAGTGGGCTAATTCGCAGACTGAGGAGCAAAGCAAAGCTGACAGCAGGGTTGAGATGACCCCCACTCACTCCTTGTGTGAAAACAGAGACAGTGGCCACTCCCAGGCCAAAACCCAGAGCTATCTGCAGAGTGCCAGGATTGTTTCCAGCCCAGGACAGAGCACAGCCCACACTGGAGAACACAAAGGCTGCAGTACCCAGGAATTCTGCAGTGAGAGCTCTCCAGAATGACTCACTCTGCAGTTCTTCCTTTAGCTGCTTCATCTCAGAGCTGTGGCTAGCCAGTGATGAGGACAAAGCTCCAATTCTGGCTATTTGTAGCTGGCTGCTTGGGAGGGGCCCACTTAAAGGAGGACAACCTAAAGGTCAGCAGTTGAAGGACTCAAAAAAAATCTTTCTGGTATTTTTCCACTTGCAGTTTCTGATTCACTGTTTGTGAGGATCTTTCAAAACTGTGTGAAGATTACGAGAGCTTACTTTACCATTTTCATTGATTTTCTGTTTTTCTGTCAACAATTTCTAGTAACACATTCTGTGATATTACCCACAGACAGTGGACTCTTCATATTTCATTTTCTGCAATCCCTCTTGGAGAACCTGTTACTCACTGGGGTACGGGGCCTGTCACTCACTGGAGTATGGGGCCTGTCACTCACTGGGGTACGGGGCCTGTCATTCACTGGAGTATGGGGCCTGTCACTCACTGGGGTACGGGGCCTGTCACTCATTGCGGTAACAGGGATGTCACTCACTGGGATAGGGGCACATCACTCTCTGGGATAGGAGCTGTCGCTTATTGGGATAGGGACTTGGCACTGTCTAGGGTATGGGCTTGTTACTCACTGGGGTAGGGACCAGTAGCTCTTTAGGATATGGGTGTTACTGACTAGGGTAGGGTCTGTCACTTGCTAAGGTATGGGTTTGTCACTCACAGGAGTAGGGACCTGTCATTAATAGGGTACAGGCCTGTCATTCAATGGGGTTGGAGACCTGTCACTGTCTAGGGTTTAGGTCTGTCACATGCTGGGATGGGGTCTGTCACTCTCGAAGGTAAGGGTCTGTCACTGCTGTTAGGGACCTGTCACTCTCTAGGTTTTGGGTCTGTCACTTCTTGGGATTAGAGTCTGTTACTCACTGGGTTACAGAGCTGTAAATTTCCGAGGCACAGGCTTGACACTTTCTGGGGCACATTTTCCTGTTTGCCCTACAGTCTAAAGCTCAACTTCCAACAGTCACTCTACTCTCTTCTCTTACAATTCTTTTTGAGCTACTTTTTATGCTTTCAGACCTCACTCCTCCTTCCAAGTTTAGAGACCTTGTTATCACAAAGACTGGTCCCAGCACAGTCCAGGTGGAAATTGTCCCATCAGTACAGCTCCTTCCTACGCTAGTTCTGTATTAATGTTGCAGTCTCACAGAACAAACCCACCTTTTATGAGCTGCTCTTTCGACCACATACTCAATTTGTTGATCTGCTTATCCCTTTGGCAATTTGCCTGTGGTTCAAATGATTCAGAGATTGACATCCTGCTTTTTTAATTTAGTTCTAATTTCTGGTAGTCTCCAACAAGATCTCTTTTCTCCTCTTTCCAATGTTGTTGGTCAATTCTGCTCACACAGGATGTCATCTCTCCCCTAATAATTGAATCTTGAACAACTATTGCATCATACTTCCCCTCCGCTTCCTTCTGCCCACTCCCCATATTAGACAGCTCCCTGCTCCAACATGCTAGGGCCCATATTCTGGTTACTTTTCCTACAGTCTTTATCCTTTACCTCACAAGTGTCAAATCTATCGTAATGTTAAACAAGATTGATTTCTGCTGTTGCTCAGTTTTTATGTTGCTTATATTCCTCTCACTCCGTATGCTATCAATTATGCCAACACCGCTCTGAACCTGGAGCTCTTTGCAGAGTAATTAGAGTGTGGAACAGACTACCCTGATATTTTCCCCTTCTTCCCCTTGTCAGTGATTCAGCTTAAGAGGTTCAAGGTGGAGATATTTACTGCAGATAAATTGATTTGTGTTAGTGTGAATAAATAATATTACTCACAGCTCCATTCAGTGATGTCTTAGTCTTATTTACATTAAAAAATTAAAACACAGATCGAAATTCAGTATTTCTTTATTGATACATTAAGTTTTACTGTACTAAAACACTGGACTGCCAAATTGCCTCAAGCTTACTGGAACCACTAAGTATCCGAGGCAAAGGCAAGACAAACTGGTGCAGGACTTACAGAGTTAATGTTAAGGCCCTGAGGAATGTTGTTGAACGGAGAGAGCTAGAGGTTCAGGTACATGGGTACTTGAAAGTGGCTTCACAGGTAGACAGGATGGTGAAGAAAGCATTTGGCACACTTGCTTTCATCAGTCAGAGTACTGACTACAGGAATTGGACCATCATTTTACAGCTCTACAATACATTGGTAAGGTCATATTTGGGGTATCGCGTATTGCCCTGCTATAAAAAGGATGTTTTGAACTGGAAAGGGTGCAAAAAAGATTTACAAGGATGTTACCAAGACTGAAGGATTTGAGTTATAAGGAGAGGCTGGATAGGCTGGGTCTTTTATCCCTGGAGTATAGGAGGCTGAGAGGTGACCTTATAGAGGTTTATAAAATCATGGAGGGCATTGATAAGTTGAACAGCCAATGTCTTTTCTCCAGGGTAGGGGAATCCAAAACTAGAGGGCATAGGTTTAAGGTGCGAAGAAAAAGATTTAAAAGGGACCTGAGGGGCAAATTTTTCTCACAGAGGGTGGTGCGTATATGGAACGAGCTGACAGAGGAAGTGGTAGAGGCAAGTACATGTACAACATTTAAGGGACACTTGAACAGGTACAGATAGGAAAGATTTGGAGGGATATGGGCCAAATGCAGGCAGATGAGACTAGTTCATAGAACAGTACAGCACAGTACAAGCCCTTCGGTCCACGATGTTGTACCGACCCGTTATCCTACTAAGATCAATCTATCACTGCATACTCTACATTTCATTATCCTCCATGTGCATATCCAAGAGTCACTTAAAAGTCTAAAGTATCTGAGTCCACTATGACTGCTGGCAGTGCATTCCACATGCCCACCAATCTCTGTATGAAGAAACTACCTCTGACATCTCCCCTATACCTTCCTCCAGTCACCTTAAAATTATGCCCCCTCATAATAGTCATTTCTGCCCTGGGAAAAAGTCTCTGGGTTTCCATTCTATTTAAGCCTCTCATCATCTTGTACACCTCTATCAAGTCACCTCAGATCCTTCTTCGCTCCAATGAAAAGAGCCCTAGCTCCTTCAACCTTTCCTCATAAGACCTGCCCTCCAGTCCAAGCAGCATCCTGGTAAATCTCCTCTGCACCCTCTCTAAAGCTTCCACACCTTTCAGGTAATAAGGTGACCAGAACTGAACACAATATTCCAAGTGTGGACCCACCAGACAACCTCACGGCTCTTAAACTCAATTCCCCTGCCAATGAAAGCCAACACACCACACGCCTTCTTTACAACCCTATCAACTTGGGTAGCGACTTTGAGGGATCTATGGACGTGGACCCCAAGATCCCTCTGTTCCTCCACACTGCCAAGAATCCTGCCATTAACCCTGAATTCTGTGTTCAAATTTGACCTTCCAAAATGAATCACTTCACACTTTTCTGGGTTGGATTCCATCTGCCACTTCTTTGCCCAGCTCTGCATCCTGTCAATGTCCCGTTGCAACCTACAACAGCCCTCCACGCTGTCAACAACTCCACCAACCCTCATGTTATCAGCAAACTTACTAACCCACCCTTCCACTTCCTCATTCAAGTCATTTATAAAGATCACAAAGAGCAGAGGTCCCAGAACAGATCCCTGCAGAACACCACTGGTCACCGAGCTCCAGGCTGAATACTTTCCATCTATTAACTCCCTCTGTCTTCTATTGGACAGCCAGTTTTGTATCCAGACAGCCAAATTTCCCTGAATCCCATGCATCCTTACTTTCTGAATGAGCCTACCATGTGGAACCTTATCAATTGCCTTGCTAAAATCCATATATACCACGTCCACTGCTCTACCTTCATCGATGTGTTTCATCGATGCCCCTCACAAAGCCATGCTGACTGTTTCTAATCAAACTGTGCTTTTCCAAATAATCATAAATACTATCTCTCAGAATCCTCTCCAATAATTTACCCACCACAGAAGTAAGACTGACTGGTCTGTAATTTCCAGGATTATCCCTATTCCCTTTCTTGAACAAGGAAATGACATTTGCCACCCTCCAATCTTCTGGTAATAGTCCAGTGGACAGTGAGGACACAAAGATCATTGCCAAGGGGGCAGCAATCTCTTCCCTCGCTTCCCATAGTAACCTTGGGTATAGCCCATCTGGCCAAGGGGACTTGTCTATCCTCATGTTTTTCAAAATTTCTAGCACAACCTCCTTCCTAACATCAACCTGTTTGAGCATGCCTCCCTATTTCATGCTGTCCTCACTAACGTCAAAGGTCCCTCTCACTGGTGAATACTGAAGCAAAGTATTCATTAAGGACCTCCCCTACCTCCTCTGCGTACAAGTTCCCTCCACTATCCCTGATTGGCCTTACCCTCACTGTGGCCATCCTCTTGTTCATAAGTATAGAAAGCCTTGGGGTTTTCCTTGATCCTACCCGCCAAGGTTTTCTCATACCCACTTCTAACTCTCCTAAGTCCATTCTTCAGTTCCTTCCTGGTTACCTTGTGGACCTCTAGAGCCCTGTCCGATCCTTGCTTCCTCAACCTTAAGTAAGCTTCCTTCTTCCTCTTGACTAGGTGTTCCACATGTCTTGTCATCCAAGGTTCCTTCACCTTACCATCCTTTCCTTGCCTCAGTGGGACAAACCCACCCAGTAGCTGTAGCAACTGCCCCCTAAACAACCTCTACATTTCTGTCGTGCATTTTCCTGGAGAACATCTGATCCCAATTGGTGCTCCGTAGTTCTTGCCTAATAGTGTTGTAATTCCCCCTCCCCCAATTTCAGTTTAGTTCAGTTTAGGAAACTTGGTTGGCATGGATGAGTTGGAACTGAAGGATCTGTTTTCATGCTGTATGATTATGACTCTGCACTGAACTTCCATAGTTTTGATTTCCTGACTGCTGTTGCATTCTGGTTAAGCCATATCAACAATGGTTAAACCACATCAATCATTCTGTGCACACTGTCCGAAGTGGTTAACTCACTGTTTTTCTCCTACTCCAGTGCCCACCTTGAAGACATCCTGCATTTCTGCCCAGTGGATTTCCACT